CATGTGTTTATGGCATATGTTTCATCAGTGTCATGTGATACGAGATATCGCTCTCCGAAACTTTCTGGTTTCTTTTGCAATTTGTTTGGGGCAAGACGTTATCACTTCCCGCCTATGTGTAAATAATAATATTAATTTGTCTAATATATAAACCGTACAAATTTAAAGGACAATATTGGTGCCAGTCATTATCACATATGTGATAGAACTGGTTAAAGGGCCAATCCCGATAACATTTTGGAGAATAAAACTGCTTAATTTTGTGTTAAAACTCCTTAATATCCCGTACCTAAGGGCCGATCAACTAATTCAATATTTGTGATATGTTTTCAAACAACTTACACCCGTCCGTCTTCATCTGGAAATGAGACCGGTGTCCCAAGCTGTATTATGCGGTGTCTGGATAAAACAAACTTTCTTTTTATAAAAACAATGTGTAGGTGAAATTTACGTTTCGTTATCCAGTACGGCACATGGGTCATTCACTGTATAGACCTCTAAAGGAACGGCGATAGATTATCAGGTCACCCAACGAAAAAAATGACCAGAAATCTTAAAAGGGTTACGTGTCCAGGTAAGCATTTATGACGTTCACGTCCAAACAACTCAATAGATGTGTAATCAATGTTTCAACAATCGGAAGTGACAAACGCAAAAGGATAACACGAGTTATCTATATTACTGACTGAAGTGACGAGTGATAACAGATACATGGGCGAATTTCTGCTCACTAATAATTCCTTCGAAGACCAAAAGTTGTTGTGTGAGACTTTGAAAGGATATCTGACAATTCATAAAAAGAATTGACTGTCACTAGATAAGAGAACATGCCATACCCACCGGGAAAAAAAAACGATGAATTAAAATTCAACCATTTTGGATTTCTTTTTGCCGGACATTTTGAATTTCTACCTTCAAGAATTCCCGAAATTTATTTTTGAGATTATCGCTGCCCCTTTATTACCAAATAAATGGGGTTTTTTATAATTATTTTTAAGTAGTATTATATTATCAAATTTGGCAGTCATTTTGAAAGAAAAGCGCGCCACCAAATGAAAAATACATTTTTTTAATTGGTGTTTGTCAAATTCGATTTTTCGGCACATTTCGCTTGCATAACGACTCTTGTGTTTGAGGAATTTAAAAAGAAATTATTTATTCTTCCACCACTGAAAGACACCGATTACGAGATATCGCTCTCCGATAATTCCTGAAGAACGCCAAATTGAATTATGTTAATTACGTCATTTTGACTTAGCCGATTTTGAGTATGATTTTGTCTGACATATTTATCATTGAACCAATCTGCATTGGTTTCTTTTGCAATTTGTTTAGGATAAATTGTAGCCCGTAAAACGTTATACCAAGAAAAAAATAAAACGTTTTGTTAAGTAAAGCAAAATGACGCCATGACGTCATAGTTTTTATGGCGTCATAGTTAGGACCCAAAATGGCGCCTGTAAATGAGTTGTCGTAATCATAGATACCCATATACTACAGATTAACACACGTGTGTACATGTTTTCTATTAGTTAACGATATACTATGTAACCATAGACAATGGTAACTATAGCCAATTAAAACCACCGTGTTATTATGTAAATATTTAGGATTATTTCTGTTAGGATTTCGTTGAATATATTAACACGAAAATAAACTTCTCAATTTTTTTTATGAATATGTTAAAGGAGCTAAATCGCTAATATTTTGGATATAGAAATTGACACAAATGGGTCGCAACGCATATAATAATGTAATGTGAATGTATATAAACTTATTTACATTCAATCGTTTCTGTTTTTACTGTAATTTCTAACCAGTTATGTTCGGCGAAATACGCCAGAAGTCTCAATCGAATGGCAATCTCTAGCGTCTGGTTATTCCACTCTATACCAATAGTATTTATTGCGCATGCTCTCCAGATAAGAATATGACGTCACCGTTTGACATGACTTGGTCTCTATTGCTTTCAGGAAGTGTTCAGCAAAGGGGGTAACTCAGGAACGGACTTTTGTGGAGCACTAATTATCGATGGAGTTCGTCCTCTCATGAACGAACTATCAGGGGTAATAATCCAGGAATTTAAGGTTCGGCGTGTGTCCAAGTTATTTGGGAAATAAACATATATTGTAAGCTTCATCTAAATTGAATAACAATTGTGACCTGTAGAATGTCCACAAACAAATGTGAACAGACGTCCGGATGAACAATGGTATCAGCATAGTACATGACAATACGTCCACATGTGGGCGAATAAAAGGTGCTTAAGTATGAATAATGAAGTTTTTTTTTTATGTATTGAATTATTTATTGTTAATATCTGTAATTGCTAAAAATGAATAAAGGTGTTCTTTTTTATGTACCGGTATCTTATTGTTGTCTAAATATTTGTTAGTAATATTATTCTAACAAGAAAAGAATCCTGGGCCCTTATTCACGAAAACTTAAACTAAGATACAATCGAAATTTTAAGAAATACTGCAATTCAATTGGCTGATCAATATGCAAATTGGATATATGCAAATTGATTTTACTGGTCAGCCAATCGAATTGCAGTATTTCTTAAAATTTCGATTGTATCTTAGTTTAAGTTTTCGTGAATAAGGGCCCTGTACGTATGTACTTAAAAGAACCCTATGTAGGGTTTTGATCGAACAAACAACATCAACAACATGGTCATCAAATGAGAAAGTATATTATAATAATATCAAACATCTGACAAACAGATTACGAGTTATCAACAGTTCATGACACACATGATATATACGACAAACGGCGACAGACGACGAACGCTGTCTTCCCTAGTATTCCGCCATAGCTGTCCCACAGTGCAACGTTACACGTGCAGATTAACGTATTACCGTAAAGTAATTAAAGAGATGTACAATGCATAACTGTATAAAGCAATGCCTACACCTTGCTAGTTCAAAATCAAAGACGCATGGACAGATAGACGCTGTCCGGGCAAAATTCTCCTTATGGGGGAAATTTTGCCCTAGCAGCGGCATTTTTTCATTGAATCCCACATGTGAATTCTTCTTTGATGTGCATGCCGATGTCTACGTGGTTTTTTTTTGTACCATCTACACAACTAGGCAGCGTTCTTTGTCAGACCCTCCGTCCTGCACTACCGACAGGAAGAAACCACGCCGCAAAACCCCGGTTAACTTTCTTGACTATCACTGTAATGAATCAATTTGAATTAAAAAGCTCAAGTATGAAGACACATAATCCTAATATTAAGATTTTTATTATTTGCTACAAAAATATTTTGAATGTATCTTTTTATTTCTTTGAAAAGAGTTTTGAAGAATCAGTCTAGTGACAAAAATACACACGATGTTTACATCCTCAAATATAATAATGGGCACAAAAGTAAAAAATACAGTTTCGTATTATTATTAACTTCATAAACATTGAAAGTTGTCTCAAAATTTCCAGTCGCTATCTCAATTACAATTATTACAAAATAATAACATCAAATATCAGTTCATGCGACTCTGCTTCATAAATAATAGCCATGCATTCTACCGGAAGTAACTTGCGGCACATCTGCTTCGCGCATGCGATGTACAACATAATTCATCGTCCAATGGTAGCTACTTTAGGGTCAGTTATCAATACCATATACGATCTATGTTGTCGTAATTTTCCCAGCGACGTCAAACAGTATGACGTATAAACATGATGTCAACGAATTGGGCTAAATAGGCTTATTCGATCAATTGTCATAATCAAATCAAACTATAATCTGTTTATTAAATGAAAGGGAACGAGATGGGGTTAACGTTCTACTCTGATGGGTTAATGAAGATGAACTTCTGTAAAAACTTCCATTTTCAATGACATGGTGAGAGCAGTTTTCACAGACCTCATCAAACGTAAGTTGTCGGAGAAAGATTTCGAAAATCTTCGTAAGTTGTCGGAGAAAGATGCATATTCGCGTTGTTGTCAAGGGGCTCAAAAATTACATATTTTGCGAAAAATGCACAGACGATAAGCGGCTTTAATCGGACAGAGCTTCTCCAATAACGACTCTAAATAATACACCGTGTCAACATAATTCAACAGCTTTTTATGGAGCGGAATGTAAAAATGAAATGAAATGGGGTTTAACGTCCTACTGTTCTGCTCCTGGCCGGGCTAATGAAGACGGGAATGAATGTAAAAAGAAATGAGAGTAAATTAAAAGTAATAATGGAAATAGAGCAAAATACAAATTCAAACTTACTGCAATATTAAAGAAATAAGTCATATAAATTATCATTTTTCTATGTGTAAATAATTTAAATGAGAAGTGTTATATTAGCACAAGAATTATTAATTGAAGACTTAGTATTATGTCGTGCATTCCGCTCCATATAAGCTGACGTGAATCAATGAGGTTTGGCCCCTATAAAGGAATCTTTATGAAATTTTCAAACTTAGAAATTAGCAATTTTATAACTTAGAAATTAGCAATTTTATTAGCAAGCGCATTACTAGGTATACTTTTTACAATATCTATGTGGTTGTCTGGTAGTGCGGTTTCCCAGCACTTACTATTCGAATTATTTCGTGCATACCACTCCATATATTTTGACCTGAATCATAAAGGTTTGTCCGCTTTAAGGAATGTTTCTGAAATTGTCAAATTCATAAAATATAATAAATGCCATAGTATGAGATAAATATGTCAATTATAAGAGTATGAGATAAATTATAATGCATGTTAAATATAATAGTATGAGCTAAATTATAATAATAATGTTAATTATAATAGTATGATATAAATTATAATACGTATTAATTACAAAATTTCGAGATAATTCATAATACATGTTGATTATAAAAGTATGAGATAAAATGTATGTTAAATATAAAAGTATGAGCTCAATTATAAATCATGTTAATTATAATAGTATCAGATAAATGAGAAATCATGTTAATTATAATAGCATGAGCTAAATTATAATAATAATGTCAATTATAAGAGTATGAGATAAATTATAATACGTGTTAATTATAAAAGTATGCGCTCAATTATAAATCATGTTAATTATAATATATAGTATCAGATAAATGAGAAATTATGTTAATTATAACAGCATGAGCTAAAGTATTATAATAATGTTAAAGATACATTATGGGAGATTGTAATAGAGAGTTGGCCATTCTTGATACAACAGTTCAAAAATAGATGATGAATGAAGAATATATTGAAAATTTCAGTCAAATTACTTTATTCTGAACAAAGTTATCACCATTGTCATTTTTTACTAGAAATAGGAGTCAACTCTATCTTCACCGTCTCCGAGAATGGCCGATCGTTTGATTGACAGGCGTTAACTCCACCTACATAATCTCGATTATCAAGTAACGTTTTCAATGGCTCTGGTACCGTTAGCCTATTCGGTTTGAGACGGGGTTGCAATTCAATTCGTATTACATTTATTTTTACTACAAATTAAAAATGAGACCTTAATATATAGATAAGAAGCGAAAGTTTGAAAGGAATGGACCAAATCAATGAGGCAGCATTGTACATAATTATAGCCGACTTCTTGTTAGCCTGTGTGTACTCTTGTACTGTAAATGATAGGCCTACGTGACTCCCGAAGCAGACAAATAGGATATACAAAAGAGCGTATAATACCGACATTCAAACTCTCATTTTAACCACAACTAAACATAATATCAAGGCCGTATATCGAACTTTAAATCAAATTGACTGACATGCGGCCTCGCTCAACAGCGGCATCGCTTCGTACGCTCGATCATTTAGCCTCGATCATCACTGCCTTTTATGGAAAAGTTCCGGGAGAATGACGTCAACGTAACGGTTAATCTCCGCTTACGACGCCATTTAAAAATTTAATCAATCAATGAAATCCTGTTTAAATCCAAGCCGAATCCAAGCCATCCGTGGGTCTACAAAAGTTGATTTTGGGCTTGTTGTGTAAATAAAGATCTAATATATAATTTCTATGACATCTGAAGCCTAAATAAAGACTTAAAATATGCTGATTTAGCTCTTGCATAATGCATGTTTAATTAAAAGAGTATGAGAAAAATTATAATACGCGTTAATTATACGAGTATGAGCTAAATTATAATACGGGTTAATTATAAGAATATGAGATAAATTATAATCCGTGTTAATTATAAGAAAATGTTATAAATTATAATCCGTGTATGGGATAAATTATAAAACGTGTTAATTATAAGAGCATGGGATAAATTATAAATGATGTTAAATATAAGAGTATAAGATAAAATAGAATGCATGTTAAATATAAAAGTATAACATAAATTATAATACATGTTAATAAGAGTATGAGCTATATTATAATGTATGTTAATTATAAGAGATGAATGTCGTGGGTGAAAACGTAATACACAATTACAATAAGTTATATCACTTTCAAATTAAAAAGAAAACACTTAAAATGAAGGCATAATGACACGCCACACCAGTCCAGTAGTATGTTCATGCTTCATTTGTAACGGAATAATTAACAAAAAAAAGGTGAGGGGAATAAATAAATACAGGTCTGTACAGGTAATATAAATATTTGATCAGATAAATCGTCAATATAACAAAATATGATGAAATAACCCTTTACCTTGACTGCCTTAACCAACAAGATATAATGACATAACCCTTTACCTTGACTGCCTTAACCAACATTCTTGTACTGGGGCCTGTTTCACGAAATTTTAACTAACATAAAATCCAAATCTTAGTAATTTGATTGGATAATATTAGACTGATTTTAGTGCTTAGCCAATCAAAATTGAAGTATCTACTAAAATTTGGATTTTATCTTTAGTAGTTAGTGGTGCTACGGTACATTCTTATTTTAAATTCCAAATGTCAAGGGATTTTTTTACGTCTACACCAATGTGTTCGGGGAACACCGTTTTCTGTCCCGATCCATGTCAGATCCTGAGTAAGACACCGGAGAAACAAGACGGTCAAATACCGGGGAACTTGCTCAGCGATCTCCAGGATCGACCCCGAGGCCTCCTGGTTAGGGGGCTAACTCCTTACAAGGGGGAACCACACCGGTTCACCGGGCACACTAAGAACAGTCAAGGTATCCGACCTGTATCATTATATCTCATCATTGTGCAGACGATCAGGCTAATAAAATGGCAGTTATGGACGTATAATGGTGAATATTGAATGAATTTAAGGCAAGATATATTAAGGCATATCACATTACTATCACTATGTTAGGGGGATAAAAAGAATGCATCAGACTGTTAAAGATACATTATGTAAGATTTAGATAAAGTGCTCACAGTTCTCTCTATAATAGTTACAAATACATAATGAAAAGGGAATGTGTTGAAACTTTCAGTCAAATTACTCCATTCTGAGCGAACTTATTGCCGTTTAAAGAACAGTGCAATCTCGAATGGCATTGGTAACATTGCCAGGATAATAAACAAAATCTCGACTAAAGTGTCATTCGTGTTTAAATACGTTGAAAATCAAAAGCCCTTGGTGAGCTAGAGGGTTGATTATGGCTTGGCATGTGAATACATGTCTAAGTAATGATTTATATAACATTTGAGGCCAAACGAAAGATCTGCATTAGAAAGATTTAGATCTTACATAATGTATCTTTAATGTTCATTTGATACCGCTTCATTTTCATTAGAAAGTCTTTTTTAAGCAGATATTTAATGTATATTGCCGGTACCAATCTCTACTTCAATCGGTAACAATAATTGATTAACTTTTCTTTGGATCATCTCCGGAATATTCAAATCTTTGTTACGGATGGATCGGCGGATGGAACCATTGTCCATGAAAGGATCTTTTGACACGAAAAGCTTCGATTGGGGTTATATTCTTTGTTGACAGCCACATCTCCATATTCGATTGGGGTTACCGAAATTCCCACGCCTCACACAACAAAATTGATGGTGATTTTGGTCCAACCCCCACCTGACTAGCTATACGAGATCACTGGATAAGTCTTGTTTATGTTCGTAGATCTCGTGGTTGGGCTATTGCCAGAATAAGTCCAGGTCTCTTTCAACCAGCACACTATGTCGAATACTGAGTCTGGTCCCAAAAAAACACACTTTCGGTTGGTTATTAATGCCTGGTTGAACAATGAACACGGCCCAGCTATGGCAGGTGTGGCGCCAGGCAGGGTAAGCTTACTCTTCCGGACACCTGTTACCACTGTTTGTCGTGTATTTTGTACACGAGGAGCAGTCCATTTGCTGATTACACTATTTTGCTTGAATACACTACTTTGCCTATAACGTTTTTTAGGACTTCGAATTCTGTCTTATGGTTTGGATTGTTCGTACTAGGTTTTATTTTATTGTAATAACAACCCGACTGTCTAGGCGACCATATTGGTTTCAATATTATTGACTGGGTTACAAAATCAAAAACAGTTAGACTGATTACCAGCCTACTTTGTACCAAACACTGAGTAGTATTTTGTTTGCTAAATGTATAATCCACACGGCTGTATCAGGACACGGGTTATGGGACTTAATTAGTAGGCCTTCGGTCGACTGGTCAATCAACTTTTTATCTTTTTTTTCTAGTTAGACTTAGTTGAGGTCATCCCTTCTGTTATGTAAGCCAGATTTATTGCTTTGGTTAGCCCACTTTGATTTGTTATGCGATAGCTGATTTGTCATTAATATGGTTCATTTACCCAATCGTAGGCAATCTGACACAAAGACAAAGGAATCCAGGAACTGCAAAGAATATCATTTATAAAACGCATCAAACTAGCCGGGGAGTTAAAACTCGGTTAATCCATGGCTAAGGACAGCAAACTCCTTAAATTCGAAGTAATGGCGCGTTGAAAGTGGCAAATGGCTATCATTCAATTAAATATAAATTACGATTCACTATGATTGCTTTCGTCAGGTTTAAATGATGTGGCAGGAACTTCTAATAGTGGGGAAACTTTCGATGAATATTTCGATGTTTTAATAGAATCGGAACGAGTAGCAATCTGAAAAATACAACATGAAAGTAAGGCAATAATAATCCCAAATAACCCCTGGTATTTATTCCTGATTCGAACCTAGAACCTCAATCGTTCGACTACCGAGTCAAAGGCTGTTGGGTTTTTTTTATCATAACGTCAACGCTGCGCAGGAAAGAGGGTTGCGTTCGGTTTGAATAGTCATGTCACGGTGTCATTAACGTTTTCTTGAACTACTGACCATCAGGTTCAAAGGTCACGAAGATTCTGGTCTTTATATTACGCCATGGTTTGTCCGATTAATCGCCATTTTCTCTCAAGTCGGAACAGTCACTCATACAAATGACCAATTCTTCAGGTACATTTAAAGACCTTTTTTTGAATGTGTTATATCGTTTGAAGTACTTCGTTCGTTCCTGAAGTTTTAGGTCCACGTCCACCAAGGGTGATATCGTAAACAAATTTTGAAGTACTATTTGTGTCATGTTTTTTGTAGAGAACAGCTGATCGATGTCAGCTAGAATTTGACCTTCAACATGTATATAACTTTCTAAGCTACAGGGGCCATAGAAATTACCTTGTGTTTTGTCATTTTTATTTGAAATTGCTATATAGGTGGGGGACCTAGAACAAACTACAAAAGAAATCATTTCTTTGGCAACTGTTCAGGTATGGTCTCTAGTGCTCCCATAACAGAAGGGGCCATTATCAGTCTTGGGAAAATTTGCATAATTAACATAATTCTAAGATGGCCGCCAGTGGACCAGAAAATCGATGAAATCTCCGAAACGGTTGGCTTTGGTGCAACTAAATATACCGACCTATAGGAAATCGATACTCGCGAGTTCAAAAATACCGACATGTTTTTCCTATGACCTTATCGTAACCAAAGCCCTATATAGGGAAAGTTACGACAACTCATTTTCAGGCGCCATTTTGGGTTCCAACTATGACGCCAGAAAAAACATGGTGTCATGACGTCATACAGCTTTACTTAACATTACAAAACGTTTTATTTACTTCATGCAGTATTATATAGGTGGAGAGAGATAACGTTTTACCTTAAACAAATTGCACCGATGCAGTTTGGTTCAATGATAAATATGTCAGACAAAATCATACTCAAAATCGGCCTAATTCGACCAAGGCAAAATGACGTAATCAACATAATTCAAAATGGCGGTCTTCAGGAATTTTCGGAGAGCAATACCTCGTAATCAGTGTGTTTCAGTGGTGGAAGGACAAATAATTTTTTAAATTCCTCAAACACAGAGCGATTATGCAAGGGAAATGTGCCGAAAAATCGAATTTGACAAATATCAATTTAAAAAATGTATTTTTGATATGGTGCCGGGCCCTTTTTTCAAAATGGCTGCCAAATTTGGTAATATAATGCAATTAAAGGGCAGCGATAATCTCGTAAGATATGACTTTTGCTATGTCTTTTATAAGGTTTTCGATGTCCGAATTTAAAGATAAATTTCTAAAATCCAAAATGGCAGCAAGACAAATCGGCAGATGTTAATTGAATCGTCATTTTTTCCTGTTGGATATTACTTGTAACATGTCATTTACACGGTTCTCGATGTCGCCGGGTTCAATACTGATCTCAAAAATGAATCCATGATGGTAGAAATTCAAAATGGCCGGCAAAATTTAATCCAAAATTGCGGACTTTGGTTATATATCTTATATATGTGTTGGGTTCAACTCTGATCTCAAAAATAAATTTCGAGAATTCTTGACGGTAGAAATTCAAAATGGCCGGCAAAATGAAATCTAAATTGGTGGAATTTTAATTAACCGTCATATTTGTTCCGTTGGATATGTCTTGCTATATGTCTTATCTATGGGTCTGGTGGTTTTTAGAGTTACAGAATTCAATATTGGGTTCAAAATTTAATTTCCAATAGGATTGTCACACACAAAATGTGTTTAAGCTAGAAACATCAGTTCAAATTACAGAAAACATTTTTTATGGTCAGTTTTATAAAAGCAAGGAGAGGAGAGAACCTCACGGGACCTCCAATAGAGTGGGAACCATAGTTTTCTAAATAGGAGGTCGATCATCAAATGAATATGCCAAAAATGACATAGGTTCTCTTAACTGAATATTTTGTTAACACGCTTTAAATATCTGGATGCAATAGACATGGTGTAGAAAATTCAAGGTACATTAAAATATTGGCAAATTATGACTTGTTTGTGGTATAGGACGGGATTTATTGTTTTGATTATAATCACAATTATACACAATAAATTATACCTCTCCCCCTATTGAGAATTGTAATTAAAGAATGTAATAATATCTTAGTTTATATTATGTCTTTCAATCTACCTTGCGGGTATGTGCAACCGTATGACACCTTAAATTTATTAATATGATTATGTCTACAAAGATCCAATTATAGTCTTTAATAACACACTGTTAACCAGCCATTGGAGATTTAATGACAATAAATCATATAGTTTATTCAGTTCGACGTAAGATTTAAATTGAATAGATACGGTTGGTTAACTTGAGTGTGTTGCATATATATCTCCTTTCAGTTGAATCATATATCATTTGTTATGTTCATATTGCCTAACGTATTTGTCAACATCAAGGTGAGCTTGTTCCATTTGCCTATTCAGATTTGTTCAGATGGACGTAGTACTAAAATGGCATTTTATCTCGTAAGATTTGACTTTTACTATGTCTTTTAAATGGATGTCGATGTCTTTGAATTAAAGGTCACCGTCGAGTGCAGAAGTCGTGAAACACGCTTTCGGGGGATTCGTTGGGGTCTGTCTCTCCCACAAAATTGATGAAAATTACAAGCCGGAAAACGCGTTCTCTTGCTACGTAGTTCAGGACGGGAATACAGCAGCCTGAAAGTGGTCCATTATAATGAAGACATCTGAACTCCAATCAACGCGCAAGCGAATTATTGAAATAAAGTTGAACCGTGTGTTAGTTCCGAAATGACCTAGTTTTTGTCGAGTGGACGTTAACCCCCCACCCCCTCTACGTCAATTAGGAGGGTTATCGTCTTCCAAATCTCAACTAATAAAATTGCTTATCGATCTGCTTACTCGGAGCTGAACATGCTCTCTCTCTCTCTCTCTCTCTCTCTCTCTCTCTCTCTTACCCAACAAACCACAATTATACAGGCCAAACAAGGGAGACAATAATAACCCCCGAACAACCAAGTGAGATAATAAAGGCAGACAGAACAAGGGATATAATAAAGTTAGAACACCCAGTGAAGATAATAAAGATAGAACAATCACGGGAGTTAATATACTGACCATCTCTAAAGAAATGTCATCTGTCTGTACAGCCGTACTTCTAACATCTGACCTGAGTTTGCTGACTGTAGTAGGTAGGTGTTGTTTTACACGACCAGTTATCGTGGTGACCCCAGCCTCGCCCTCTGATCCACTTCCTTTATACAACGCCCAAAACTAAACAAAAAATAATAACAAAAAATAATAACAAATAATAATAACAAATAATAATAATAATGTGATGGAGGGTGTCAGATACTATTTTGCACACAAAAGTAATCGAAGACCATGTTCCGTAAAAGTAACCGAAGACCATGTAATACAATAGAATAGACGAGGACACTAATGATGCAACCTTACGCACAGACAAAGACCATGGACGGACGACCAGGGAACAGTTTATAACCTTACCTATAGACGGAACATCACGAAACAGTTGATAATCTTACGCACAGACCGAGGCCACGGGACATTTAATAATCTTATCCACAGATGCACCACAACGGAACAGTTGATAATCTTGCCTACAGATGGGCGACCACGGAACAGTTAATAATATCACCCACAGACAGGCTACCGCGGAACCGTTGATAATCTTACCTACGGATGGACCACCACGGAACAGTTTATAACATTACCCACAGATGGACCACCACGGGACAGTTAATAATATTATCCACAGAGGGGCTACCACAGAACAGTTAATAATATTACCCACAGATGGGCTACCACGGAACAGGTGAAGATCTTACCCACAGACGCATTACCAAGGGACGGTTGATAACCTTACCCACAGACGTACTACCATGGAACGGTCGATGATTACCCACAGCTGGGCTACCACGGAACGGTTGATAAACTTACCCACAGACAACGGTTCGGGAACAGTTGATAATCTTACCCACAGACGAGCTACCACGGAACGGTTAATAATATTACCCAAAGACGGATTACCACGGAACAGTTGATGATATTACCCACAGATGTTCTACTACGGAACAGTTGATAATCTTACCTTAGGAGCGAATATAAGTACCATGCTAATTGTAATTAACACCTGGTGTTGGGCCAATAATAGTAGATATAATACATCCGGTCCATTAGATACAGCCATAAACTGTCTAAAATATACAGAAATATTTCTCATATATACACAAATCACTGTCTAAAATATGCAGAAAATAACTTAAAATATACACTGTTTAAAATATACACAAAGTTATGTCTAAAATATGCACACAACACTGTCGTAAAATATACAAATATACACTGTCTAAAATATACAAATATGTCTCAAATATACACAAATCACTGTCTAAAATATGCAGAAAATGTCTTAAAATATACACTGTTTAAAATATACACAAAATTATGTCTAAAATATGCACACAACACTGTCGTAAAATACACAAATATACACTGTCTAAAATATACAAATATACATATATATTTTATAAATTGTAAATCAAAATATATAGAAAGCGATCAAGTATTGCTTTGGCGAGACATTAAACCTCATTGCATTCCATCATGCACAACACCAATCATAACTCGTAACAGAATCTACTTGATATTAGTAAAGAGTAAGCGCGAATTAAACAAGCACGACCTACAACCGATTCATGATGTCATCAGCACCATCTGTTATTAGTAACATCACACATAAAAAATTGAAGTCCATCAATCGATGCGCAATTATTTAAAGACAAATAAAAAAGGAACCGTCGGTTCATAAAAACAATCAAGGCGAAAGTATATTGACCACGCAAGGTGAATGTATAATAACCAAGCAAGGTGAATGTATAATGACCAAGCATTGCGAATGTATAATAACCAAGCCAGGTAATTGTATAATAACCAAGCATGGCGAATGCATAATAAATAAGCACGGCGAATGTATAATAACCAAGCAAGGTGAATATATAATAACCAAGCAAGGCGAATGTATAATGGCAAATATTATTTTAGACAACTCATAATGCCGTCGTTCTAATTTCACGATGCACAAAACAATATCAACTGGAGTCAAAATGCCAAAAGTTAGAAAAACAAATACTGCATAAAATTACTTACGTTAAGATGATAATAAAACTTCCTAGAATAATGGCGTTATAAACAGCCCATGTGATGTGTTTACTCTCGTTAAAATGAGCAGGTGCTTTACGAACAGTAAAACATAGATATACTCCAAATAACAATAACAATGCTTCTCCTACAATATTAAAGCGAAAGAACACAATAACAAAAACAAAAGAACACAATAACAAGAACAAAATAGTTATCCTACATAAGCAAAATAACAATAATAATCGTCCTATACAATTTTAAAAAATAACAATAAATATACTTCTATAAAATAAACAAAATAACAATTATAATGCTTCTCCTATAATATACAAGCCAACAGTGAGGCTGATGTCCCCCGCCGAAATTCCAAAATAAAAAGATGACACATATTAATTAATCGCACATTTATTTTTTTCAAAAAAATCGAGCTATCAAACCATACACTCAGTTTCACCAATCTCTATCAGATAGAACCAAGATTATCTTGTCCCAAACCATCGACAAATGAAATCGATTAGCTCTGCTTATCGTCAGCTCGAAATGTTAATCATTGAACTCAGTCAAGACATTCCCCTAATGAACATCTACATCAAGTTTAAACATTCACCTAATGAACATCTACATGAAGTTTAAACATTCACTAATAGACACCTACACCAAGTTTGAACATTCTACCTCAATGAGAAGGAGAGTTATTGTGTTCCAAAGTCTCAATCAATCAAATGGCTTATCACTCTGATTACCCTCAGCAAAAAATTCTCATTATCGAACTTGGTCAAGGTATTGATGTAATAAAGCTATACACCAAGTGTCCTCACTCTCACTTAATTAGAACTTAAAGCATCAACCAATCAAACTGCTTATCTCTGGTTACCCTAAGCAGAAAATTCTCATCTTTGAACTCCATCAAGGCATTCACCTAATAGACACCTACGCCAAGTGTGAACATTCTAACTCAATTCAATTAGAATGATAGTTATTGTGTTCCAAAGTCTCGACCAATCAAATTGCTTATCACTCTGCTTACCCTGAGCAAAAAATGCTCATTATCGAACTTAGTCAAGGTATTGATGTAATGAAACTATACACCCAAGTTTCATCACTCTCACTTAATTAGAACTAAAGTTATCGTGTCCCAAAGCATCAACCAATCAAATTACTTATCTCTGCTTACCCTCAGCAGAAAATGCTCATCTTCGCACTCCATCAAGGCATTGACTTAATAAACACCTACACCAAGTTTGAACATTCTGGCTCAATTAGAAGAAGAGTTATTGTGTTCCAAAGTCTCAGCCAATCAAATTGCTTATCGCTCTGCTTACCCTGAGCAGAAAATACTCATTATCGAACTTAGTCGAGGTATTGATGTAATGAAACTATACACCAAGTTTCATCACTCTTACTTAATTAGAACTAAAGTCATCGTGTCCCAAAGCATACAAAAATCGAATTGCTTATCTCTGCTTACCCTAAGCAGAAAATGCTCATCTTCGAACTCCATCAAGGCATTGATCTAATAAACACCTACACCAAGTTTGAACATTCTAGTTCAATTAGAAAGAGAGTTATTGTGTCCCAAAAAGTATGACGGACAGACAGACGGGCGGACAGACAGACAGACGGACGAACCCATTTTAATAGTTCCCTGCTTTCTTCGAAAGGCGGGCGACAATAAAAAAAATAACAATGTGTTTGCTCTCGTTAAAATGGGCAGATACATTACGTATAGTAAAACACCACATAACAATAATAATAATACTTCCCCTAACACATGGTTCAATTTTATTTCAATAATTCGCTTACGCTTAGGGGTCTTTAGCAGTGGGAGGAAACCGAAGGACCCAGAGTAAACCCACGAGGTTGGACAGGCGGACCTACTCCTTGTCACGTACAACCGAGGAATCGAAGCCCCGCCAGTTGACTCTATGACAGACCGTATGATACAACGCGCACATGCTAACCATTCGGCCATCCAACCCCCCAAACGGGATGGGATAATCAAAATGTGTCAACTTACCTCCGTACATAGCATAATGCCAATATGTTACAGCGCACGTGAAGAACTTGAGTGATGACGTAGTAGTTAGAATATGGACGGTTGGTGGGTCGACTATAGACCATACTGATAAAACTATTATAAATAAAGTTACCAAGGGCGATAATCTCTTTAATAAGGCGATGTCTGGTAGGCTAACTCGTTTAACTGACCCAACGCTGAATATTATCGATATCCTAAAATAAAAAAAGGAAATACCATATAAACCAATCAGAGAGAGAGAGAGAGAGAGAGAGAGAGAGAGATTTGACGTCCGTCCACTCCACACAAACAAGGTCATTTCGGGACTAACATATTGTTCGATTTTATTTAAATAATTTACTTCCGCATGTGGGTCTTTAGAAGCGGGAGGAAGCTGGAGGACCCGGTGGAAACCGGAGGATCCGGGAAAAACTCTCGAGGCTGGACAGGCGGGGAATCGAAACAACGCCACTTGACTCAATGGAAGACCTTATGATCCAACGTGCACTCGTTAACCACTAGACCACACAATCCCGACCAACAGGAAACCTGTAAAGTGATGTCAAGGGTATACACGGGACCTCGGCTTTTTGTCCCATCCGAGCAACTAGATACATTTCCTTGTAATCCTCCTAAACAACTGACAAATGAAGACCAGACTGGCAATTCTAAAACATATCTCCTTTCGAACTGGCGGCAATGAAATACGCCTAGACTGAGTTCTAAATCTGGATAAAAATTAAATATGCCCCTAAGGAGTCTATGTCAATAAAAATGGTGTAAATATTTGTTCATTTAGCAGTAAAACTGCTGTTGGGTTAATAAACCGAATTAAACTCTGAAAGTCGGCCTTTGTAACGTCGTTGTTTGTGGACATAGAGGAATTGCCCCCATTGGAAACGATATAAGAGTTATGCTCAAAGCGCAATACAATTATTACGCCCGTCTGGTAAAGTCTGATTACCTCCCTTTTGTTTATATCTTAGAAAGAGTCTCAACTCATACTCAGACTGGTTGTATTTGTAATGATATAAAACCTACAAACTGATTAAAATACTATATCTATATTTCGTTTCGTTTTTTTTTTTATACTTTCGATGGCCTACACTACATAAAGATCTAACCAGTTGTAGTAGAAGGTAGTGTCAGGTGTCATACGAGCGACTTTTGAACTGATGACGTTAGACATTGATTAACCAATCAGCGTTGACGTTCCTAGTGGTTTACCCAAAGTCCCGTGGGCCTCACGCCAAACACTCGCCGTAACAGTCCGTTTCATTGGCTAATCCCTCACATCATCCAGAACGCTGGTTATATAAGAACTCTTTCAGATCCTAGTGTAGTAAAGGTGTGTAAAACCGTTTGAATTATAAAAATCGAAACGAAATAGGATCCGTGTTTTAATCAGATTGTAAAACCTACCTCCATGTTTTAACGATTAAGGCACCAAACATGATGGAGAAGCCAAGGTGTTGAGGCCATATTTCAATAATACACGATATATCAGTTGGTTCGGGAAAGGCTACAAACAACTGTTAAAAACAAATATTATAATTCCAGAAAATCATAAAACAAGGTACAATATTAAGAAAGCACAACCGCGTTTATGAAATAAAATGAAGAGAGAGAGAGAGAGATGGGGGGGGGGGTTAACGTCCACTCGAAACTAACTAGGACTAACATAATTCGCTTGCGCGTAGGGGTCTTTAGCAGTGGGAGGAAACCGGAGTACCCGGAGAAAACCCGGAGAGAGAGAGAGAGATATTCCCGGCTGTACGTGACACGGAGTAGGGTCGCCTGACCAACCTCGTGGGTTTTCTCCGGGTCGTCCGGTTTCCTCCTACTGCTAAAGACCCATACGCGCAAGCGAATTGTTGAAATAAAATTGAACAATATGTTAGTCCCGAAATGACCTAGTTTGTGTCGAGTAGGCGTTAAACCCCATTTATCTCTTTCTCTTTTAGAGATCCCAATTCACAGCATTGTAGTCTCCAAGTGATCCCAAAATCCACCCGCTGGCTCAGTGAGTAAGTCGTTGGCTCGCTAACCTGGAGGTCCAGTTTCGATCCCTGCTTTGGCTGAGAAAGTTTCCATCGTGGTTCCTCCCTGTCAGTGGTGCAGGACCGAGGGCCTGGCAAGAGACAACTTATAATCGTTCGGATGGCACGAAAAGCCGAGGTCCCATGTAGACATTGGCATGCAGATAAAGATCTAAGGGTAGGCTGTAGCGCCGCTGTCCGGACAAAATTTATCTCATTGCATACTGTATGACGTATGCCTGTCTTCATCAGCCCAGTCGCAGCAGAATATTAAGACGTTAAACCCTATTTCATTTAATTTTCATTTCCAAAATCCCCCACATGACGATACGCCATACAATATGCAATGAGAGGCAACTTTTAACTATAGAGTGACGAACTGGGGTATTGATGATGCCAAAATAAGTGAATGAAGAGCTAATCAATGGACCAGAACATACTGGACTTTAATTTGTTTAGACCGGATATCCTACCCTAATACGTCAGACTCGCTCGTACGTCACTCCTTCCATAACCCGTGACATGTAATTGTACACACAGGCAGTGGACAACCCATGTTTTGACGTAGTGTTACTAATTATAGACAGGATGTCCCTTTGTTTAACTTTAAAGGTAAAAGAAGAGATAGTTTACATACCTGACAACACATGAGAATGGCGCCAAGACACATCAGGTGAAGAAAAATAGGAGACGCTGTTTTTATAACCTGAATATAACGAATACAATTGATACATTCAACATATATTCCTGCGACAATAATTAGGCCATCTTTTCGCCCACATAATTCATTGTTTTATCTGAATATAAAATTATCGACTACAAATCAATAATAAATTAACCATAAATTAAATAATACACAGCCCCCATCACTAGCCGTTACTAGGCGGGTAATTATTGTAGCCCGTTGCCTGGTAACGTAAGTGTGCCCACCCATTCATCGTCGTGTAGTGCCGGACCGTAGCTAGTGGGGGTAAGAGCTACAGCTGCCTCCCTCTTAGAAAAAAATCGGCGCACCCAATGGTGCCTTTGCCCATTGGGGAAAGAATCAGTTACCCCCCAATGGACGCCTTTGCGCCCTTCCATTAGATGCAATAGAAAGCCAACGACCAACGTGCCCCTCCCCCTCCACTCACTAGGTACTGGCCTGAAGTATATAACATAATGGACTTAAGGTTAAAGTTTGTAGAGTGTAAAGATCATAAACGCCCACCCTTCAATAATTTTATTAAACGAATATGTCATGTGGTTATAAAGATTAGGAAAGAACAAACAGAGCAAGGGTAGCAATACAAGGGGAATAACTCACCATTTGTGTTCTGTATTTGAAAACTAGAAAAGAGACGGCACAGCATCCTATGATCATTATTACAGCCAACAGAACCACCAAAATTCTTATACCGAGTTCCATGGGAAATAAACATGGCGTATCGTCCACACACGTGTCACATCCTCGAGGACAAGGTAAACAACGAAAAGGTATTGTCACCAACCCAAAATATTTATCTACATATCTCTCTATATCATAACCAGAATACGCCCTGATAGGTGAGCCTACTACTGGGTAATAATAACCATCCATACAATGGCACTGATAGGCTCCACGTCTAAAACCTTGACCGATCAGAGGCACACACTGAAACGACATAAACGTATATGTTAAAGGGGTTCATACTGTTTCCTCCTATAAACAAATGAACTGTAATAGTATGTGCAGGGGGGCTGCACCACACACGAACAATTACACACAACAAATTTACGGACAAGATATAATACGCAGAAATCACAAACGTACATACATTGTATCAGATTTAAGTGAATGGATCTGGGAGCTAGCCACAAGCGTCCACTGCGCTGTGCAGTCCCAGGTCTATAGTGATATAGACTTTCCTCAAAAATGAAAACTAACTAACAATAAGGAGGAATATTTCACAAACGTTGTATAATACTAGCCTGATCTGATATATGCCACATGAAATATAAATGTAAAATCATTGAAGGAAAAATACCGATACAAGTAACAATTTCGGTGAAATGTAGTAAAAAGCCAAGTACAACTAAATGGCCTAAGTTATGTAGTAGTGAAAAGCATTATAAGCGTTTGAAAGAATTGAAATGTATTAATTACAAAGTTCGGTAATTAAGGGAGCCGTGAAAGCGAAGTAAACCGGACACTCGCATGTCCCAAGGTCGCATCCAAGCATCAAGGCGAGAGAGAGACCTTCGGACTTAATCGAAATGAAATGAAATGGGGTTAACGTTCTACTGTTCTGCTTCGACCGGGCTTATGAAGACGGGCATACGCAATACAGTGTGCTATGAGGGTCATTTTGTCCGGACAGCGGCGCTCCGGCCTACTCTTATGTCGAATTCCACTATCAAGGTATCTTTTACGGACACATCAATGTGTACACGGGAACTCCGTCCTGCATCACTGACATTTGGATACCACAACGGAAAATGCCGATGAACTTTCTCGACCAAAACCGAGCGTCTTACTCACTTAGTCACCTTGGCTCCCAGACTTAATGAAGCCATGCGGCATTAGAGGTGATAGCTGCGTGGCTGACCTAGTAGTTCGGACTGTCTACCCCTGTACATATTGGCGTCCCCGTAGCAGAACTCTCAAACAGTAGGGAATCGAAGCAGATTAGGCAGAGACGTCGCTGCCCGGGCGCAATTCTCCAACCTAATCATAGAAATAAAAATTACCCCTATAGAGAATTCAGCTCGACAACAGTATATCCGCCTACCTTTCTTCAATTTCCAATCGTCAAGGACTCTTCTACATGTAGCCAATATGTAAAGGGATAGACCTCGATTTTCGTCCAATCTGAATCAACTTGACGGAAAACCAAGGTAACCAAAATATCGTTGAGGAATGAAGTGAAATGGGGTTTAACGTCCTACTTTTCTGCACGAACCGGGAAAATAAAGACCAGCATTCAGTGTACGGCGAGGGAAATTTTGTCTCTTCAATTGTCAAGGGTTCTTGAACATGCAACGTGTGCAAGAGCCTCGGACGATTTAGCGCTATACTTTGGCAGGACAAAGAAAAACCTTGGTTGAACTCGGGATCCTCTGTTTAGTGAGCTAGTGCCTTACTCATTAACAGCCTTTCTTCCTGGGCTAGTATAATACTTACTTACCTTTGTTGTAGCTTGACAATGGTGCGTTCCCCTAAATACGTCTAGAGCTCCTCCATCTGACTCATCTGATAGGTCGCACTGGTTAATATCCACATTAGTCAGTTCTATATCTATAGTAGCTACACCTCTAAAATAGAAAACATCAACAACATGAAATATCTCTACAATAGAAACCACCTCTACAATAGAAAACATCAACACCACAAAATAGAAACCAAGTACATTAGTCAGCCCTATATCTATAATGGCTACACCTCTAAAATAAAAACCAACTACATTCGTCAGTTCTATATCTATAGTGACCACCCCGGTTGTACGTGACAAGGAGTAGGGTCGCCTGTCCAACCTCGTGGGTTTTCTCCGGGTCCTCCGGTTTCCTCCCACTGCTAAAGACCCCTACGCACACGCGAATTATTGAAATAAAATTAAACCATATGTTAGTCCCGAAATGACCTAGTTTGTGTCGAGTGGACGTTAAACCCCATTTTTTTTTTCTCTCTCTCTCTCTCTCTCTCTCTCTCTCTCTCTCTCTCTCTATAGTGACTACACCTCTAAAATAGAAACCAACTACATTTGTCAGCCCTATATCTATAATGGCTACACCTCTACAATAGAAACCAACTAAATTTCCAGTTCTATATTTATAATGGCTACACCTCTAACTAGAAACCAAATGGATTTGCAGTACTATATCTATAGTGGCTACACCTCTAAAATAGAAACCATCTACATTTGTCAGCCCTATATTTATAACTACATCAGTTCTATATGTATAATGGCTACACCTCTGCAATCGAAAAGAGCTTTATGTATAATGTAATGACTACACCTCTACAAATGACAACATTAATAACATAAAACAAGTCAAAGAGAAAATTCGTAGATGTCCCAGTAAGGGTTAACACAAATTAATGCAGTTTAACGTCCTACTTTTCTGCACCAAACGGGATTATGAAGACGGACACATGCCATGCAGTGTGATGCGGGATTAGTGTTGCCCGAACAACGGTGCCACGGACCACTCTTATATCGATATCTGGCAAGCGATATTTAAAGTAGTGCCAATTTGATACCTGCCGTTTGTCCCATCCGAACGACTGGGCAGACTACCTTGCCAGAGATTCAGAGATGGGGTTTAACGTTGCATCGACACAAACTAGGTCATTTCGAAACTAACACATGATTCAATTTTATTTAAACAATTCGCTTGGGGGTCTTTAGCAGTGGGGGGTAACCGGAGGACCAGGAGAAAGCCCACGAGGTTGGAAGGCGACCCTACTCCTTGCCACGTACAACCAGGGAATCGAAACCCCGCCAGTTGACTCAGCGACAGACAATATGATACAGCGCGCACGCACGTTCTAACCATTCGCCCCCCCCCCCAACCGATCGTCATAACACAGAGAGAGAGAGAGAGGGAGAGAGAGAGAGGGTTTAACCTCCACTCGACACAAACTAGGTCATTTCGGGACTAACATATGGTTAAATTTTATTTCAATAATTCGCTTGCGCGTAGGCGTCTTTAGCAGTGGGAGGAAACCGGAGGACCCGGAGAAAACCCATGAGGTTGGACATGCGACCTTACTCCTTGTCACGTAAAACCGGGGATTCCTAACCACGCCAGTTGACTCAATGGCAGGCTTTATGATACAGCACGCACGTGCTAACCATTTGGCCATCCAACCCCCCTGATCGTCATAAGACTGGCTGGTGTCGAATGTAAGACGTTAAATGGGGAAGAGGAACTTTGTAAAACAATCAACAAATTTGAAATGAGGTCAATATTTAATTTAATCAATTACACATGTACAGACATAAAAACTAGAATATTTCACAAAATAATTTATACCAACTTTTAACGTTTTAGAATAGGTAAGGTCTCCACAACCTTATGTGAGTTTTGTCAATCAAATATTGAAACGATCGACCATTTGTTTATACACTGTCAATACTCCAAGAAGTTATGGGCTTCACTGAATGAAATATTGCAGAAAACGGTATTTATAGTAACCTGAGTTCTCCAGTCATCCATTTTGGATACTTTAACGTGCACGAAGACATTAGCAATTTCATAAACCAGTCAGAACTTTTGTCTGTGGACCATGCAATAATATTAACCAAATATTACATTCATATATATAAAACAAAACTGGCGTCTAATCAACCTACCAAAGAAGGGTACATTGCGTTTCTATACATTCAAACGCAAAGATAGACTAACAAATTAAGTAAATAAGGACAATTTTTAAAAGTGGAAATTCCCTTTAAATCACTGATCCCCCTTGAACTGTTGAGATTGTAAAGTTTACAAACATCATGAACAGATTGTAATGATGAATGTGGATATAATCGCTTTCATTTATATACTTGTATGTTAATATATATTACCGTAATTATATTACTAATTTCGGTGAATAAACCAATATTAAAAAATAAATAAATAAAGTAAAACTAAATAGTTATATAATATATATAAAAAAAAAACCTAATGTGTCCCCCATTTCAGATGGAATGCGAAAATGAACTAGACCATAAATAAGACTTTGAATTGTATTGGAACTTGAAAGTCTATATTCATCGTATTCCAAGTAAACTTACAACTAGTACAAATAATAAATGACATTTCATACAACTAATTATTATTATATTGTTAGGACTGAGTGGTTTGCCCGCAAATACCAAATTGTATTCCAAACATGCACAGAATCAACCGGAATATACCGACGAATACCGATCCGAATCCTCCATTTTGTTACTTACTTGAATATAGGTGTTTTATTTTTGTCGAGATCGAATATTGGTGCTGAGTAGGTGACCATCCAGATATCTCCCCCACCACAATCATAATATGGATACGTCCAATGACCATTTTCATATTTAGCTGTTGGCTGATCGAACTGTAGAGGTGTGGTACTGCCGCTGTAAAAACAATAAATTGCAATGATTCGATCGTAATCTCCACAATCAAGGTGTCAGCTCGGCGAGTAAGGTGCTGGTTTAGGACTAGCCATTCGGTCCCAGGTTCGATTCCGGTCTTAACCGGGGGAGAGAAAGTGCCCCCTGTCGTTGGTGGGGGGGGGAGGGGGGCTTGTCCAGAAATAGAGTTTAGTCTTTCGAATGGGTCAAGTGCCCCCTATCGTTGGTGCGGGGGGGAGGGGGGTCCAGAAATAGAGTCTAGTCTTTCGAATGGGACAACAAAACGGGGTTACAAATCGCAGCGTTCTCGCTATCCTTTTCTCATTACCAACAGCTAAGGGTGTTTTTTTTTATCCGCAGGCTAATATGGATATGGTGGCTGTTCCTACCTCGAAAACAATGGCAGCATATGAAATGCACTGGTTTTAGATAATCGATTTATCAGAGAAATTTATCTATCAGTCGTGTAAGCATCTGGGCACCATGAGGGCCATTTGTTCACGTTTGCCGGCGACCTTGTGCATTTTCTGGTCGCCGTATGGTCGCTGCAGCGCATTAAGGACGCCACCCCGGTCTGACTGGGGCATTACAACTTTCAAGGTTTGATCGCAAAGCCTTGGCGTTTGTTTTGAACATGCTTAAAACAAGCGCGGTGACTAGGCGATCATTCACGACCATGGAGACCACAGAACGATATCTATCGTTTCCACCACGCGTTTACCGCGCTTATGGCGATCTTGACGCGCTCTGCGACAATTTTCCGTCGCCGTAGCGTCGCAGTAAGGACGCAACCCCAGTCTGACGGGGGTATAAACGTTATCAACCTTACAGAGTATCTGTACTTGTTGTTATCATTATCGTGAGTGCGAAAATAAAAAGACTTACTTATATGTTATACTATCTTGCTTCACAGTAGCATTTCCAAAATCTTTAACTCGAACAGCATTATACCATTCAGTACCATTACTAAGATAGTTATAATTCACGGCAATATCAAAGGCGCTGACGCTTCCGTTCTTTCTAAAAGAGTAGGGACAAAAACGATCATATAAACTATATAGTCCAGGTTCCAGGGCGATGGCAGCCCCGAATATCAAGCCTTCGCCATGAACATTGTTTCTAACGAAGGTGTAGAAGATATTTTCTTCCAGACTGTTCAGGTTTCCATCTATTTGAATTATGGAACTCAGTATGTTCGCTGTGCGTATCGCTGGTTCAGTGTAGACCTGGAAAATTTACAAAAGATATTTAAAGGCTGTGATTTTCTTGAATCTCTAATAGGAATGTATGTTCAAAAATAGCCCAATCTGTTCAGTATCCATGCTGCTCCCTATGTAACAAAAGCGTCGCCATCTTTAAGTGCTGTGAACCAAATTGACGTGCTTGTCTTAAATCCGATTGAATCCAACAGTGAGGCTAATGTCCTCCGCCGAAATCCCAAAATAAATAGATGACACATGTTAATTAATTGCACGTTACCTTTTTCAAAAGTATCGAGCAATCAAACTGATTAGTCTAAGCATAAACCGCTCAAGATCAAACTCAGTCTGGTTTTGAAGTACCTGGTAGTGAAACTATACACTAAGTTTTATCACTCTTCATCAGTTAGAATCAAAGTTAACTTGTCCCAAAGCATCGACCAATTAAATTGCGTAGCTCTGATTAGCTTTAGCGGGGAATATTAATTATTGAACTCAGTCAAGACATGCGCCTAATGAACAGCTATACTCGGGGTTTCAGCGCTCTCACACAATTATAACCAAAGTTTTCGTGTTCCAAAGTCTCAACCAATCAAATTGCTTATCCCTGCTTAGCCTTAGTGGGAAATGCGCATGATCGAACTCTGTCAAGGCATTCACCTAATAGACACCTACACCAATTTTGAATATTCTACCTCAATGAGAAGGAGAGTTATTGTGTTCCAAAGTCACGACCAATCAGATTGACGTCCTTCTTACTCTGCCGAAGCAGAAATGCTCAGCATCGAACTATGTTATGGTATTGGTGTAATGCAACTATACACAAAGTTTCACCACTATCACCCAATTAGAATCAAAGTTGTCAAGCTCCAAAGTCTCGAGCAATAAAAATGCTTATCGCTCTGCTTACCCTGAGCCGAAAATGCTCATTATCAAACTTTGTCATGGTATTGATGTGATGAAACTACTCTGACTAAATTAGAACCAACGTTATCGTGTCCCAAACCACCAACTAATCAAATAGCTAATCTTTGCTTAGTCTAAGCAGAATATTCTCATCTTCGAACTCCATCACGGCATTCACCTAATAAACACCTACATCAAGTTTGAACATTCTACATCAATTAGGAGGATTATCGTCTTCCAAATCTCGACTAATCATCAAATGGCCTATCGATCTGCTTACCCTGAGCTGAACATGCTCTCCCTCTCTCTCTCTCTCTCTCTCTCATTAAATAAGAACCAAAGTTATCATGCCCCAAACCATCAACCAATCAAATTGCTTGTCTCTGCTTACCCTAAGCAGAAAATGCTCATCTTCGAACTCCATCAAATGAGCGCCTACAACAAGTGTGAACATTCTAGCTCAATTAGAAGGAGAGGTATTGTGTTCAAAAGTCTCGACCAATCAAATTGTTTATCGCTCTGCATACCCTGAGAAGAAAATGCTCATCATCGAACTTAGTCATGGTATTGATGTAATGAAACTATACACCAAGTTTCACCAATCTCACTTAATTAGAACTAAAGTTATCGTGTCCTAAAGCACCAACCAATCAAATTGGTTATCTCTGCTTACCCTCAGCAGAAAATGCTCACCTTCAAACTCCATCAACACATTCGCCCAATACAGACAGACGGGCGGACGAGTATGTACGGACAGACAGACATAAGACGGTGGGTACAGAAAAGTAGGAGGTTACCCCCAAATTCATTTAATTTCACAAGCTGCACTAACTCTGGTAGTACATTGTTTTAATAATGGACACAGAACATATCAAGCAGATCAGATGATCGTCCACAAGATTCTACAAGTGGACAGGGATTTCTTCGTTGCACCAAATAGAACAATACATTCAGATCGGGTGATAACCTTTGTCGGTAGAGTGTTTACAATATACTTAAAAGGGAGCCAATGTAATAACTCTAGAAGAAACTAATAAAGGCCGTGGCTGACTATGGCGCACGAGAGCCAGGGCCCCCTTAGAAAGCTAGAATACAAATAAAAAAGAAATTTAACTATAACGATCTATATTATTTATGTTATATTTAATTTGAGTATTGTACTTGGATTTGCGCTGTTGCTATATCATTTGAAACGAATTAATCAACTGTGCTTTCAACTATTGAAGTCTACTCAACAGCATTTTGACATTTGACATACGTACATTGCTAAAGCTAGGTTCCCACTGCTGTGCGATGCGTTACGATAGGATTGTTTTCCAATCTGATTTAACCACGGATCCTATTTCGTTTCGTCTTTTATAGTTCCAAATTCGTTTTACTTGTCTTCACAACACTAGGATCTGGGAGAGTTGTAGTATAACAGGCGTTCTAGTTGATGTGAGGAATTAGCCAATGAAACGGTCTGTTACGGCGAGTTCTTGGCGAGCTCTGCACGGAACTGTGGGTACAAACCCCTAGAAACTTCATCAATGTCTGACGTCATGGGTCAACAGCCGCTCGTATGACCTTTGGGCAGATCTTCATGCAGTGTAGGTCATCGAAAGTATAAAAAAAACGAAACGAAATATAGATCTGTATTTTAATCAGATTGGATCGTTCCCTATAAGTCCACGATCTGGTACGTGCAGATACGTCCGGCTACGTTTCGATACAATTAACATGACTGCTACGATTCACCTAAATATATGATACGACATGACAGGGTCACCACGATTAAAACCACGATTTCATTCGTAGCGCGAATCGTGGTAGTGGGAACCTAGCATTAGGCAGTGAGAAAATGAAATGAAATTAAATGGGGTTTAACGTCCTACTGTTCTGCTGCTAAAGTGGGCTAATGAAGACGGGCATACGCCATGTGCTATGAGGGAAATTTTCCCTGGGCAGCGGCGCTACGGCCTAGTCTTATATCGAATTCCAACTGCCAAGGGATATTTTACGTGCACGCAAATATGTACACGGGACCTCGGTTTTTCGTCCCATCCGAACGACTAGACAGCTGTCCTTGTCAGGCCCGACCTCCAGGCTAGCGAGCCAGCGTCTTACCCACTTAGCCACGTGATCCCCCAGTGAGAAAATGGACATTTTCCGAAAAATGCAAATCACGTATCGTTACTTCTAATTAATATTGTAGTTATTCGTTCAGCTGTTGAAAAATTGAAGAACGTATAGCAGATCCAAGCGCGTGTTTTAGTGCTCTTGAAAATGTCATATTTAAATCTAGAATGTGTATCATATTACTTCACCAGGAAATGTAATATAATATTTAAAAAAAAAATAACAATTCATGACAAAACTATAATTAACGAGATTACGACAAGATGAAGTACGGCGTAACTACATTTCAAAATTGATTTGGTAAAATATGAAATTTGAGACGGGCTCTGAATTAAAGGTGCTTTATGTAAGATTTAGATAAAAAAAACAACAAATGGCCGTTCTTGTTATTATAGTGCAAAGGTGATAATGGAAAATGAACATATTCAAAATTTCAGTCAAATTACTTTATGTTGATAATGGAAAATGAACATATTCAAAATTTCAGTCAAATTACTTTATGTTGAGCGAAGTTATCAGTGTGTGAAGTTTGACAAGATATGGCGTAAATATCCTCGATTGTCAAGCACCATTGCCACCATAATGAAGTCTCGATTATCCATTCCAACGTTAGATTATTATAAGGCGCGGTTGTTATCAGTGTTTGAAGTTTGACAAGATATGGCGTAAATATCCTCGATTGTCAAGTACCATTGCCACCATAATGAAGTCTCGATTATCCATTTGAACGTTAGATTATTATAAGGCGCGGTTGTTCTAATCCATATCATATCTAGGCCATCCGATAATCTAGAGAGTTGCCATGCGAATAAATATCTAAATAATAATTTATAGGGAGCCAGACAATTGACCTAAAATAGACAGATTTAAATGTTAAATAATGCATCTTTAACGACTAGTTACAAATACATATATTTGGATATACTACCGACGAATATTCTCTGTCAACTAGCCACAATAGTTACATAATCACACGAATCAATATCGATTATATTTCTCACGTATCGACCACCATTGTAGAAATTTAAATTCTAAATGTGATTTTTAATAATCGATTTGAGGATACAATGGGCATTACTCCCAATCCAAGGATGTAATAAAGAATGGCTTTAAAAAAGCCACCAAGATATAATTGTATAAATATTGCGTCATAAACTAAAGCCATAGAATAGCGATATATTCTATGTCAGCCATTATGCAAACATAAAGATCAATAATAAAACAATGTATTTCGATGTTTGGCATGAACAAGGAATAACGTATGTATATATGGCGTTTAAATGAGGTACGTTCAAATCTATATTTAAAGCGGCAATTGCATATTTTCTAAGAAAGTCAAAATATAATTATTTCTATATCTATTATTTAAACGGGGAATTATGTAAGATTGGATAATGAGCTGGCAGTTGTCACTATAATAGTTAACAACTAGATAATGCAAAGGGAATATGCTGAAAATTTCAGTCAAATTGCTCCCCTCTGAACCGAGATATTAGCTGGCAGTTCGCACTATAATAGTTAACAACTAAATAATGTAAGGGGAATTTGCTAAAAGTTTCAGCCAAATTGCTGAACTCTGAACCGAGATATTAACTTTTGAATTTTAAGCTTAGCTTAGATCTTTAAATAATAAGGCCTTTCATAATTTGATCCCAAACCTGTACGTGACACAGAGTAGAGTCGTCTATCCAGAAATACACAGAATATGTCGAGTGGACGCTAAACCCCATCCCCACCCCCCTCTACTTCAAAATATTGAATTAACCACTAAGCTTAATACTGGGACAAACCCTGTCAATAGTCATTAATTAGATAAAATAAAAACCTAATAATCTAAATCCGAATACTCGTGGAAAGCAGATCTGGCAATTAATAAACAACCTTTTGAATTTATTACTGTTTAATGGTTGTAATGGTTTCTATTTCGACTAAACAATAGAAATTAATACATTTTAACTAAAACTAGAATCATTAAATCGTTAAAACGAAATCGATTTAACCGATTATACTATTGGTAATTTTCACAAATTTATCTAAGGACATAAATATTGATAATATTATAAGCGATATTTTTGGTTCTATAGATTGAAGTATTGGATTTTATTTTATGATCAGTAGTGGAATACCGCGTTTTATCAGTGAAATAAAAGTGTTATTCCACTGGCTAGCAGTGAAATAAAACTTATTTCACTGGCCGCCGGGACTACTTTTTTTTTGTTTTCTGGAGTTATCCAAATATGCGACGGTCACAACTCACCACGCACACGGTCACTAGTTCAAGTCGTTGAGTCGATTGGTTCTATAGATTGGAATATTCCTTGTCACGTACTTTCTAGGGTCGCCTGTCCAACCTCGTGGTTTTCTCCAGGTCCTCCTGTTTCCTCCCACTGCTAAAGGCCCCTACGCGCAAGCGAATTATTGAAATAAAATGAAAAACCATATGTTAGTCCCGAAACGACCTAGTTTGTGTCGAGTGGATGTTAAACCCCATCTCTCTCTCTCTCTCTCTCTCTCTCTCTCTCTATCTCTGTCACGTACTTTCGATTCCCCGGTTGTACGAGCCAAGGAGTAGGGTCGCCTGTCCAACCTCGTGGGTTTTCTCCGGGTCCTCCGGTTTCCTTCCACTGGTAAAGACCGCTACGCGCAAACGAATTATTGAAATAAAATTGAACCATGTGTTAGTCCCGAAATGACTGTCATTGTGACTGCTTTGCACACATTGTGGACTTCGATCCACCCTGACTCCTGGGCCTACACATATAAATGATTACTTACTCGCCATACTGAGGTATTGAAGACAAGCTGAAGGACCTCCTCGGTTCCACCTGAACATTGACTGTTCTCTACTCGATTCACATACTCCAGAGCTTTCTTGGCTGCTGCTAATCGTTCTGAAAAATACAACATTAGACAAATTCATTAAACAACAAAACGTGTACAGAATCCCCTTGAAAATGGGGAAGCGGGGGAAGGTGAGAGAGACTATAATCAGAAACATTGAGTCAACTGGCGTGGTTTCGATTCACCGGTTGTACGTGACAAGGAGTAGGGTCGCTTGTCCAACCTCGTGGGTTTTCTCCGGGTCCTCCGCGAAATTTTGAACGGCACACCAAGAAAATGCGAAAAACCTTGTGATCCCACTGGTGTCTACTGATAAGTTCATAGCTGTGTTTTTCTTTATTTAATTTGAGTCATTCTATGTGTCTATGACTAGTCTCTGTCTACGGTTGTATTCTGTCTGAGTTACCATGTTTTTATTTTGTAAATATATATTTAGCCATGTGTTTCAAGGTGTGCCGTTGGCAAAAAAGGTTGTGAGTCACTGTCTTAGCGAGTGCAAGGGATGAATTTGTAAATAAACTAGCAAGGTTACTCAACTCCCGGAGTGGGGTGCGGGAACACTTTTGACGCCCCCGGACTCCCAACCCCCACCCACACCACAACAATAATTGATAATTCTGATGATTTTTTTTTACTACATTCCGTTAAATTTCAGAATAAAGGCAGCCAAAGCAAACTGAATTTTACAACGAGACCAAATGAACTTGAGAGAAAAATAATCGGTACAAATTTTATCCTTAAATATAACAATCAAAATAAAATAATTGTAACCAATCATCCCTTCATAATTATCTAAGTAGATTCTCATGCTATAATTATATAACAAAAGGGAGTGGGTTCGATCCCAATCACTATAATTAACCTGTGATGATGTACCGGACTAAATTCCACCATTTCTATGTCGATAACTCTATTGATTCGGTTTATGTTTAAATTCATCGATTTAAACTTATTGATATTTAAGGGGAACCACGGTGGCTCAGTGAAAAAGGTGTTCGCTCACTAACCAGGATAGCCTGGAGGTCGGGTGTTCGATCCCTGCATTGGCCGAGAAAGTTCATCCAGATTTTCCGGCGTGGTTTCCCCTTGTCGGTGATGCAGGACGGAGGGCCTGACAAGGAGAGCTGTCTAGTCGTTCGGATGGGACGAAAAACCGAGGTCGCGTGTACATATTGGCGTGCACGTAAAAGATCCCTTGGCAGTTGGAATTCGATATAAGAGTAGGCCGTAGCGCCGCTGCCCGGGCAAAATTTCCCTCATAGCACACTGTATGGCGTATGCCCGTCTTCATTAGCCCAGTTTAGGAGCAGAACAGTAGGACGTTAAACCCCATTTCATTTCATTTCAGTAACCAGAAGGTTATGGATGGGATGCTGGTGTTCGCTGCGAGATTTGTCAGTATGGTTTACTCTTGTCTGTGTTGCAGGATGAAGGTCCCGGCAATCAACAACTCCTAGTCCTAGTCGATGGTATTAAAAACCGAGTTACCGTTTACAACTTAGAGTGCATGTAAAAGAACTCCTGGCTATTGGAATTTGACACGTCAACACAATTTTCCTGAATGGCGAATGTCCGTCTTCCGTCTTCATTATCTCGGTTGGTGAAGAAAGATAACGCGTCAACGTTCATTTCATTTCATTTCACTTCTGTTCAATATATAATCCGAGCTGTGGGTTTTACGCATGCAGGGTCCATCTAATTTAATTAAAATTAAATCTTTACAGGTGGTTGATCCTGCGTAGCACGGGTATAACCATGAACAGGATGTAGCATATCTCTGAAACCGGAAGTGTTAGGCCTATGTCAGCCTTGGGACAGCCCCAGTGTAGTCGCTAACCCCGAACAGACAGACACACAAACAAGGTCCAGTTTAAACTGATATACCTACATCCTAATAAAGCAAGGTGGGGTGGATGGCCGAATGGTTAGCGCGTGCGCGGTGAATTATAAGGTCTGTCATTGAGTCAACTGACGTGGTTTCGATTCCCCGGTTGTACGTAACAAGGAGTAGTGTCGTTTGTCCAACCGCGTTGGTTTTCTCCGGGACCTCCGGTTTCCTCCCTCCAGCTGCTAAAGACCCCTACGCGCAAGCGAATTATTGAAATAAAATTGAACCATATGCTGGTCCCGAAATGAACTAGCTTGTGTCATGTGGACGTTAAACTCTCTCTCTCTCTCTCTCTCTCTCTCTCTTTTTTTTTTCTCACACACACACATCCTAATTAAATTTATGTTTCTGTTTAGACGTAGGATTAAATATGTTGTTAGACCCCTACCCTCATATCCCCTCCCACAAATACCCACACTCAAACTTATAGTGAGAACCATAGGTTAGGTAACTTTGACGCAATTTGATTAAAATACAGGTATAACACACTATATAAAATACAGGTATAACATACTATATAAAATACAGGTATAACAGACTATATAAAATACAGGTATAACAGACTATATAAAAAAAACCGAAACGAATTAATTATAAATGATCTGTGTTTTAATCAGTTGACCTTGACACGGATGCAAAGCAATTTCCATTATTCTGTATGGATGATTTTATATAGAATGCAGGGGCCTTCAAAGACAATAAAGATCACAAAACATAACAATAAAATAGAGATAAATAAAGGGGGACTTCCTAATTGGATAATTGTCAAAATAATAATACAACAGAATAACGATGTAATATTAGTTGCCTATGTAAGAGGACTGATACCTTTTAATCTGTCTATGTATTAATTGTCTATGTTAGGCCGAATAAACAAAATAATACAACACATGTAATATAATACAACACGATGTAATATTAGTTGCTTATGATATAGGACTCATACCTTTTAACCTGTCTATGTATTAATTGTCTACGTTAGCATTATTAGTGAGCAGAAATTCGGCCGTGTATATGTTATCACTCGTCGCTTTAGTCAGTTATATAGAGCAACGACCCGTGTTTTCCTTTGGCGTTTGTCACTTCCGATACGGGAAACCTGTATTACTCAGCTATCGTAGCAATGATCTCTGTGTTAAAAGTATATTTGGAATGTGTTTAACCAGCTCTAACACATATGTGATAATGACTGGCACCATTGTCCTTTAATATATATTTCTTAGCAGTTCTAGATTAAACAAGTATTATGCAATAGCTAGATCTGCCTATTGCAGGTCTTTGTTTGGGCCATAAATGTTATCTAAATTATTAATTAGACATTAATCAACTTATCCAATCGAGACTTGGGTTATTATCGCACGAATGTTAGTAATGACGTTCGAGGCTTGCCTAAAACTGTATTGCTAATATTACGGTTCAGAGTGAAGCGAGAGAGAGAGAGCGAGAGAGAGAGAGAGAGAGAGAGAAATGGGGTTTAACGTCCACTCGACACAAACTAGGTCATTTCGGGACTAACATATGGTTTAATTTTTTTATTTCAATAATTCGCTTGTGCGTAGGGGTTTTTAGCAGTGGGAGGAAACCGGAGGACCCGGAGAAAACCCACGAGGTTAGACAGGCGACCCTACTCCTTGTCACGTACAACCGGGGAATCGAAACCCCGCCAGTTGACTCAATGACAGACCGTATGATACAGCGCGCGCATGCTAACCATTCGGCCATCCAACCTCCCTCAGAGTGAAGCAATTTGACTAAAATTTTCAGCATATTCTGTTTTTATTATCTATTTTTTAACTATTATAGTGTGAACTGTCAGCTTGTTATCTAATCTTTAATTACTTATTAAGGTCCTGTAAAATAAAACCGATTCAGACTGTTGTAAATACCCAATCTGATTAAAACACAGATCCTATTTCGTTTCGTTTTTTATAGTTCAAAATGTACTGCATTAGGATCTGGAAGAGTTGTTTACAACAGGCGTTTTGGGTGGCGTAAGAGATTAGCCAATGAAACCATCTGTTACGGCGATTTCTTGGCGTGCCATGCACGGAACGGTGGGTTTACCACTAGAATCAACGCTGATTGATTAATCAATGTCTTACGTCATAGGGTCAAATACCGCTCAACTGGTCAGATCTTCATGAAGTGTAGGTCATCGAAAGCATAAAAAAAACGAAACGAAATATAGATCTGTTTTTTAATCAGACTGTTATAAATACGGAAACTCGAGTGTCCACAGAAAGCCACACTAAGGCCGACTGTTTAATCCTAGCGAAGGAGAAAAAACCTCCAGGGTCGGAGAAAGTGGGATACAACAAGTAGGGTCGGTCGGTCGGATGAACACGGATAATTTTGGTTTTTTGGCCTTAGAGGTGCGATATCATTCAATCCCAGTATACTGTTTATCCATTAATACTTATTACGTTATCTCTGCATCGATGATTGTGCATTAGTTTTGATCATGTATCGGATCATAAATATGACAATATCTCGTATTGTAATGACTATAACAAAGATTAATGGCACGTGGATGACATCTATACGAAAACTATTGACTATTATCTGCATTATTTCACAGCTGGATATATTATATTCCACACTTGGGTAATTATTGACAGATTAAAAGGATTCAAATTGTTGGCCCAGTGATCTAACAAACGGGCTGCTCGTCATAACATCTGTCATCGATGCAAATATCGTGGATTTGGTCCAACCCCAGTTTGTAAATGGAATAAAATGAACAGGGTTTAACGTCCTGCTGTTCTGCTTCGACTCGGTAAATGAAGACGGACATATACCATGCAGTGTGCTACGGGGGTAATTTTGCCCGGACAGCGGCAACTGACAAAGGATCTTTTACGAGCACGCCAATGTGTACCCTCATAGCACACTGTATGGCGTATGCCCGTCTTCATTAGCCTAGTATAGGAGCAGAACAGTAGGACGTTAAACCCCATTTCATTTCATTTCATTTCGGTTACTTCCTATTCAAACCACTATACGTTATCATTTGCCGGAACTCTGTCCTGCACCACGGACAAGGGCGAACCACGCCGGAAAATCCCGATGAGCTTTCTAGGCCAATGCACGGGCCCTCCAGCTTAACGATCCTACGTCTTTTTCACTCAGCCACCCCATGTCCCCTCCAGTTGGTAAAGAAAA